TTCTTACGGATTGCGATTCGCAAATTCCAAAGTGTTTTATGTTTATATGACCCATAAAATGGAAATAAATAAAACATAACATAGGTTCAGAATTTTATTAAAAAATAACTTTGTTAACTTTTACCTCAGATAAATAAGAATCATATTTATCATTATTTTTAAAAAACTAATAGTATTCAAGTACAGGGGAGGGATAAAGAAAATTGTTTACAAGCATTTATCGAATATTTAACTTTTGTGATTCTTTCAAAAAACAATTTGCTTCACCTATGCATGCATTTTCACGAAAGCCTTCCGAACAAATTTGTTTCGGCTTTTTTGTTTAACGATTTGACATTAAATCAGAAAGTTTTAATTATTCCTTGGCTCTTTTTTCTCTTGGTGTATGCCCATATGTATCATTTAACTTAAGCGCAACAATGTACAAGTTGTAGCCGCAAGCGCGGCCTTATTGAAACATAAAGGTGATATCTAATAAGTTAAATATCGGAGCGCAGTTATTTTTGGCACGGGCAGGCGGCACATTTGCATAGCCAGCAATTGGAGTTCGACGGATCGAGGGACAGACAGTACAGCATTACTCACACTCACGCATGCACTCGATAAGGCTACAAAGATTGATGAGTGTCGTGCTCTGAAGTGTCAAAAGGCGGTGTGTGCCGCAAAATAAAGACAACATTGAAGCAGCGACTTGCAGCTGTGACATTGACCTTTATTTCCTACCACGAAAAAAAACACACACTCGAAAAATTCATCAAAATGACACAACACTACTCGTCTAAGCCACAACACACACGCACACTCCCAAGAATGGCAAAGGAATTGCGCACTTGATGCGAGTTTGGCGATTATTTCACATCCCCTGAGCATTTTCTAACGACTCATGTGCTCTTATTGTTGTCGCTTGTCCACTACACTAGTATAAGTGTGTATGTATGTATAGTACAGTATGTCTGATTGCGTGATTAGCTACGCAGGTCAACAACTATAACTGTAAAGAATTGTACAACATAAAACTCCAGCAGCCGATCCAAAAGAAAGAGACGAAATTGCCGCCGACGCCAAATAACTTTTCTACCCGCCAACTGCCAAGTGCTGACCAGTCGCCATCAGTCACTGGCTATACCCTTCTATTTAAAAGGGAGGGAATATTATTTACAACACATAGAAGAAACCATGCCTGTTCTACTCACAATCAATCTAAATATATTGTTGTAATTAGACGTTACCATCTCCTTAGTCTGACCTGATCGCGGCTTATAGTCGAATCAAAAACAATATGTTTTAATTTATTTCCGCAGAAAGGCTTTGAGGGGCATATCGCTTCGACCCAGCCGATGCCTACTCTTCTTGTCGTTGTTTGCCAGCTCGTTTGGTTTTGTTAGCTTTTTCTTTAAGGCTTTTGGCCAAGATCAACTTGAAGTTTCTTTTTGCTGGAAGCGCACAATTACACGCAGACCACAACACTACAGCGGCGACATTGAGCCAGTCCAGCTTTATCTGCTGGCGAAGCGCTGAATGACTTCAAGAAATTGTTTTTGTGCCACAATAAATGCTCAACTCTGCAGAAACCGATACTGGTACTCGTACCTGTTCATATAAAGAGCCAATTGAACATAAGATCCCTCTGATCTTATTTGCCATCATTTGTAAATCCCCGATTTCGTAGAAGATGGAAACTCCTAATGAAGGATGCAGTGATATCTATAATTTACAAGTATTGACTTACTCCAGCTCTGTTCTAAAAATACTGAGAGAAAACTAAATTGGCCAAATTCGTGATAAATATAATTACCACAATCTATCATCAATTCATAATACTATATGTTACTATTTTCTAAAAATATACCATATTTGAGCAGCCCATTGAAGTACAGCTAATTCTGTTTTTACGCGGCAGATTGGTTCCTAAAATATAAATCGCGCTAAATGGAATAAAGTCGTGTAACATAATATAATATTTTTAATTTTCAAACCTTGATAAATCAAAGCTTAGCTTAATATCTTCAAAATACCATTAAATTTAGATTTCTTGAAATTTATTGATTGAAAATTATTGATATTTTAAAAATGAAACCAGTTGAACAATTTGAAATGTGAATTTAAAGGTGTTGTGTTTTTGATCATCTACTGATTTATTCCTGCACCGTAGCTTTATGCACAAAGTTCGATATTTTCCACCATATACTCCATTCTATTAAGAAATTAGTTATTACTAAAATGATTAGGCGAAGGGTAAAATGGTATAATATGTAGTGTAAAAGTAATAATTGTTGATCAGTACGAAAAGACGACTCGGTTTGCATGAACCCAAGCATCTTAAAAAGTATGAAACCTAAGTAAATCCAGGTCCAGTCCAATGATGATTAATGATTTTTCATAGCTCTCATAACTTTCAATATTCAATTCAATACTCAAATAAGGAAATTCCATCTGGCTAGTGATTATGTTTTCTCTTTTCATGTTTAAACATGATTGGTTTGTTTTCAAGGAAGACAGCAGCTGTTGTTGTTGTTGTTGCTTCTTTGCCTCAGCTCTGTAATGCAATACACAAATGTTTGCTACTGAAACATTATCTTTCCCCTCATTTACTACAAAAAGAACGTTTATCGAAATTTCAGCTCTCTTGATAAAGTCAATCAGTGGGGACCAACAGGAATTTTATTCTATGTAGATACAGATGGAAAAGCTTAACGTAACACTCACAATACTCACAAAATTATAAGCAATAACAATGCTCAGAGGTCACAGGATCATCACTTTTTATTATATCCAGTCCTTGATACTGGAGCGTACGAGATTTATCCGTCACGATAGATGAATTGTTGAAGCACAATAGATATTAAGGGTCGCAGTTCCAAAAACCGGTACTGAAATAGACTAATCGAAAAAACAATTCCCATTTGTGCGAACTACTTACTTAGCTACCGTTCGTGCCATTTCATTGCTAACTTGGACTCGAATATAATTGCTAATTTTGTTAATGTCTCAAAATCTGTTTCGTTTAATTTGTTGCCATAAGCAGCATACACCTCCAATAAATTTTTGTTGTGTTTTCAGCTTAAACTTAACAGGCGTTTTTATATTTGTGAAGGCGCTTCAGCCAAAAAAAAAGTACGAGTATTTATATATGTATGTATATATGTACCTACATAAGTATGAATGTAATATAAAAAATGAGAAAAACACTTGCTGCTTTTATTAGCAAAATGTTGCTGCCTATCGTCGTTTGTTTAGTCAATAATTCGCAACTGTTGCTTGCTCGCAAGCCTAATGGAGACAAGGTTTTTGGGAACATTGTTATTAATCGGAAGAAAAAAATATAATCAATATTAAAGCGAGTCGTAAACAAAAGGAAAGTTGTCGAAAAGTGAAATGATAATCAGCGGCATGCAACGAACTATAGCCAATTAGGTCAGAGTTTACAAAATTTAAACGCCACTCTAAGACCATTAAAGCAATAAGGTATAGAAGCATATAGAGCTAGACTTATACGATCATTCAAATGGTTGCCAAGCCGGAGTTATTCAAATGATCCGACACTTATACACAGTCTGTCCCCTTGTAAATCAATTCAGTTAATCTGATTAGAGTCAGAAATTTCGCCAACTGATAAGACTTGGTCGAAGCGATAAGGGCGTCTGAAAAGGTAAGTGTGGAACGATAGTAATGACTTAATCAGTTCTATGTTTTGCTTAACTCATCCGTCAGGTTGGGTCGAGTGATGGGGAAACGAACTCTAATTCAACCCAAGTCGTCCATATACAAATATATGTTTATATTAAAGCATTCAAGACCGTCCTTAGTCAGTAGAACAAAACAACGGTTCGACTGCCAAGCCTACAACATGCACGACATTGTCGCAGCGGTTGCTGGCGTTGCACAGTGGGTGGATTCAAGGATAATTTAAGCAAAAATTTATATTAGACATTAGGGATGGGCCCATCATGAGAAAATCTTATTCGAAATTTAAACAGCAATTGTGGATTGGATATAATGCTGATACGTTTTCAGAATAAAACACAAAACTTAATTAAAATAGTTTATTAATCAGATATGTTATATTTTCCTATATCTTTTAGATTTTTCATACAACTGAAAAATATATACATATGAACACGAGACTGGAATCTTGATGTCATTTTGGTAATACTTAATACTAGGAAACGAAGGGATTAAATGTCTTGAGCTTTGACTTGTTTCAAAATTCAAAATCTGCAAAACTACTTTAAGAAGAAGCGCCATTCTATTTGCACGCCTTCATTTTCAGAGCTCACAACCACTTTGAAGTTGATTTGATTGATTTGATTTGACGAAATGGAAATTATGCATCGGTATTATCATATTATTGCTATTCGATAAACCTGTTTAGATCTTGACAGCATATCCATAGTGCATTCCCAGTTACATTATGATAATTCTTCCTATTATTGTTATCGTTTTTATGCAATTGAGAATACTCTTTTTATTAGTTTCTTATTATAATTCATCATAAGAGTAATTGCGATATTTCTATTACTAATGGCATTTACTTAGTGTTCGATTGATGTACAGTTAATTGTGGACTATTGTGTGAATCGCATTTCAATTAACAAAGATGTTGTTCAGTTTCTTAGTTTTGGGTTCGTCGAGCGACACGAATAATGGCTGTAAAGCAGACAACTACAGTTAGTAGTTGTATTTCGTATTCGACTATTTTTCGTTTTTAAATAATTGGCAAGCTCTGTGAAGAAGAATTGCCAATAAGGCCCCACTGTGCTCTGTCAGAGCCTAACCAAAAGCAAATGATTTTGCCTGCAATTTCAACGGCTGTCGCTGCCGCTGCTGCCTCTGCTGACGGCCGACGACTGACGGCAGACGGCAGACAGAGCCAAGTTAGCTGCTGGCAAATACTCGACGACGACGCTGACGCTGACGTCGACTGCGAGTGTTTGGAACAGACTGCTATATCAGTTACAGACACAGGTGAGCCAACGCTTATTTACGCTCGAGCACTGAACGTGGTAGCAGCAGAAAGCGGCAAGAAGTAAAATTGAAAAATTGAAAAATTGAAATTTTGAAATTGAATAAAAGCGCGCCAGCGGACGGAAATCTGCAAAGAGTCAGAGAGTTAGTTGAAAGTTTGAAGTTTTTATGAAGTAGAAGCGGCATTAAATATCTAATTAAATTGGAAAATATACTCGTGTTGCACTCATAATAGAGTAACGGCGAATATACATCTACTTACTTCGAGTATAAAACGAACTTTCATTTTTCGTCGAAGCAAACCAAAGGTGAAATAATTACAATTAAACCCACATAAATCGGCTTTGTGTTGTGCGGCTGCCCGATACGCGCAATTCACTTTTGCGGCAACATAAGTACAATTATAATAAAAGTGAAATACGCTTTGCTTAGTGAAATTGTCATTGCAAATTGTTTTGTACTACAACATATCGAACTCATTTGAGAGCGGTTTTCGCAATACAAGTAGATTGCTTATAATTGGGAGCCCACGCCACACCACGCCACGTTCGCAACGCTTTTCAGTTTTGAAGTCAGTTTTTGTATGGTCAAGTACGAGTATCTGCGCAGCGGCGACCATTGTGCAACACAACAGAGGCAGACACTTAACCTTAACAATTATTTGGCAATAAAACTATTGGCACAATAATTTTATTCAAGTGCAAAAACCGCATACACACTCGTACCCAAACCAGCACTTTTACCTCAAACGAAAGCAAAACAAATTCAAAAGCGAACCCACGCGCCAGTTCATTCGAGTGTGGTCCAAAGTAGAAGAAGTAGCGCCTTAAAAATGGTTGAGAAAACAGGTGAGTGTGTTTTGAAATTATGGCTACTCGATTCAATTGAATTGTACTGTATTGTATTGTATTGTATTGTATTGAAAACGTGTGCGACATGTGTCTCTGAATTGGATTTGATTTGATTTCGAATTAGATAAGGCTGTTTCAAAAGAAATTAATAATCGGGCATGCAACGAAGCACGCCTCCGCTCCCACTCCCGCTCCCGCTTCTTATCAAATGGAGTGCCACCCACGATTCATTCCAAATTTTAACCAATTCTGAAAAATATGTAAATATGTGAACAATGGGAAAATTTCAAAGTGAATCCCCAATAGGTCGGAGCCACAGTTGCCTCGGAAATTATAATTGTTGAATTGAATTCTAACTCTACAAGAGTTACACTAAAATGTATATGCATGGGAATCGAAACCGAATAAATAGTATTTTCATTTAGGATTATTCCAAAAATATGAAAAAAGAGTTGTGTGAGCAGAAAACTAGGCCTGTTTGACAACAAATTTTTGTTATTTGTTGTTTTTGCAAATTATTTGTTGTTGAATTGAATTCTAACTATCAAAAAGCCTGCAACACTTTATTAAAAAATCTACAAGAATTACCAAAATAAATGCATATGCATGGGAATCAAGATGGAGTTAATAGTATTCTCATTTAGGATTATTCCAAAAATATGAAAAAAGAGTTGTGTGAGCAGAAAACTAGGCCTGTTTGACAACAAATTTATTCCATTTATGAGCTTTTGTAGTTTTTGATTATTTGTTGTTGAATTGAATTCTAACTTTCAAAAAGCCTGCAACATTTCAAATAGTCTGCAAGAGTTACCCTAAAAATGTATATGCATGGAAATCGAAACCCAATAAATAGTATTCTCATTTAGGATCATTCCAAAAATATGAGAAGAGTTGTGTGAGCTTGGCCCGTTGGAGAACAAATGTATTCCATTTATGAGCTCTTGTAGCTTTTGATTATTTGTTGTTGAATTGAATTCTAACTTTCAAAAAGCCTGCAACATTTTTTCAAATAGTCTGCGAGAATTACCAAAATGAATGCATATACATGGGATATACTCCATTCTCGTTTAGGATCATTCCAAAAATATGGGAAAAGAGTTGTGTGAGCTTGGCCCGTTGGGCAACAAATTGACGCCATTTATGAGCTGTTGTAGCTTTTGATTAGTTGATGAGTGTGCCAGGGTGTTGGGAGTCGGTTTCATAACTGCACCATCATTAATCACGAATCAAATTTTATACTGAATCTTTGATGCTTCACTGGGCGGTGAAGAAAGTTTTTCCATTTCTATTCATGTTCATGTGCTGCCTGCATTTGGGTTCGCTTGATGCCTGACATCGTGCATATCGATTTCAGAGTTGAGTTCAGTTGACTTGACTGAGCCACTCGCGCGTTTAATCAACAATTTATGTTTTCTCCCGATAATACCGCTTCGCAGCAACAACTCGCAACTCCAGAGCATGACAGCGAATTAGCCATGAGGTTTGCTTCCGTGCGCGTCGCAGTCGTCGTCATCGTTGTCGTCTTTGATGAATTTTGTAACTATAAGTTTGCATGACAGAATGTAAAAGAAAAAAAAACAAAACAAGATACAGAAAACAAAAAGCAAAACAATACAACAATCGGAAAACAAACTGATAGGCAAACATGTAAGGCAGAGAGATAGTTTATTTTTAGAAGAAGAGCCAACAAATGGCAGGCGGGGAACAACAACAGCAACGTAAATGATTTTCAGTAACTACTTACGAATGATGACGACTTCCTAGTCGCAGACAGAAGTGAATGAACTGGCCACAAAGAAGCGCCGAGACCAACTTTAAAGCACCAAATTATGTCAATTTGCTAATGCCTTTGCGTTTATTTACAAAAATTATACGCTCGCTTACTGAGCTCGTGTGCACTCTAATGAGTTATTAATTAAAGGCACGACCCAACACATCTAATTGTGTTTGTTTCTTTAATACTAAAACTATTAATTCCCATTCCCATTTTAATTGCGTTGTTTGCCTAACATTTTGGAGCCATCAGCAACACGGCTTACTTATGACCACCACTCTGGGCACGCCTTTGTGTGCAAATATTAAACTCCATTTAAAGTGAATTCTACGAGTATGTTCCCGCGCAGCGATAAGAAATATTAACGAATATATGAAGTAGGGTAGCCTCATCACAATCTGATCCCCTTAAACTACAACTTTTTCTTTTTCCTAAATTGATAATGATTTATAATATATCTTAACATAGTTTACGCGTATTGGATATTCTCCAAATCATTTGAATCTCTTAAATAGAGTTTTACAAATTATTCAAAAAATGTTTTACTTGCTTATGATCTCTACACAATTTCCCCATTAGTGTAAACTATAAAAATAATTTATAATTAAAGGCAATTAAAGACAACAGCCAGTACATAATTTCAGCTCCTGATTCGTTCCAAGTACAAGTTGAATATTTCGTAATAAAAATTTGTAGGAATAGGGATAAACACCGTTTGAACTGTTTTAACTGATTTTGCTGAAAGGATTCAGTCCTATTTATTTATTTTAACAATTTCAACTTAGAATTTACTCTAAATCACAAACTTTGATAAATATACAAGTATATGTATAGCGTTCAGGCTGTTTTTTATTTTAAATCTCTTAATTATATGATTATATGTAGTTTAGAAATAAGTTTTTTTTTGTATTATAAATACGTCAATCATTCACTATTGTATAAAAAATTCGGTACAGATTACAGGCATCGCTCAATCGAAGAAATAAAAAAAAAAAAACTTGTATATTACAAGATCTTATCTTGTTGCCTGCTCCATCAAGCAGTCGAATCCAAAAAATTTTAGTTCTCAGAATCTGTGGGTCTGGAAATGTTGGCAACTCTAATATGAATGAAATAATTGAATTTCCGAAACGCCTTCAAGTCGAAACAATTTCATGCTGCCTTCGAATGATTAAAATTCTTGCACTGCGTTGCTAATTAACGTCACAGTCTTGTTCATATATTTAAACAGTTGATCAAACAAACTTCACAGCAATAGCGCCAACCATTAACACATTGATGCTGTTTGATTTAAATATTCATTTTTCACCGTTTTGCTTTTGTATGAACAATATTTGTATTGTGCTGCTAAAAGCTGGTGGAGTGGTAATGGGCCTCACTTCTAATAGAGCAACAACAAGAATGCCAACTACAACAACACCAACAACAACAACAGCTATAGCGGGATAAGGCCAATTGAGCTTCAGCCGAACGAGGGCCAATTGATTACGGGCCTCTGCGTGAGAAATTTTACGCCTGTCTGAGTTGGGTTCCGCAAATTATGGCGAAACGTGTTCGTAATTTCTTTGCCAAATTCGTAGCTCGTAGTTCGTAGCTCGTAGTTCTGAGCCAGCAGTTTGGAGTCATGTGCGGCTTTAAAGTTTGTCGGATGGCTCATATTTCATGTCTGATTGGACAGTGGCTCGCACATTGTTTGGGACACCATAAAATTATACGCAAATGATGCCAACTTGTTGCCTGTTTACTTTTGCGAGTGTGCTTTGTTCAAAAAAAAAATAATAATAAAAACAAAAATTACAGTGGCAGTTGGCATGACATCATGGAGAAATTGTATGGCCGGGAGAACAGTAGCTGTAGCTCGGATTAGTAACTCAGATTTAAGGCGAAAATAAATCAACCTGTAACCCCGCGTTCTAGACTGCCTAACTAACTTACGAAACTACTTTTGTGTACAACAACAGGTTATTTGTCGATCGGTACTGGGTTTTTGCAATTTCTGATAAATAATGCGCAATGCCAGAACAACATGTTATTGTTATATAACTACAAATTAATATAATAATAATAAGTTCGATTTGAGATGGAATGCCTTAAAACTTCAACGAACTGAGCTCAGTGCAATTTCCCATGAGATATACAAGTACTGCTTAATCATTATATTTCTGCGACATTCCATTGAGTGGGAATTGCAAAATATTGTCAAATAGGCAGACACTTGTCCACAATATTATCAAATTTTAGAAGCAACGAACCTTATGGGGATTTACATCTAATGCTTCCCTCAATTGATGTTTGACTCTGATTTAATTTAATTTAATTTAAATCAATACACATTTCAAGCCCCAAAAATATATGATCAGTGCATAGACATTTCAGTCTGTACAGTTCCTACTTATATAGTATTACAATAAAAGTCGAATCAACAAATGTATAAATATATAAACACGTAGTTAGCCATACATTAAAGCTCAGCTTATGACTTTTATAATAGGAATTCAATCAAGTTTATAATTATAGAAGTACTGTATTTTGACGTCTTCCCATTGATGTCCATATTACTAGTATAGTAAGTAATATAATGTGTATACTATGCGAGAGACTCATAAATTATCCACAGCTATTCGGAATTTGTGAATGAGCCAGTTGAAATCACGCCTAGTTACTATACTTAAAACAAATCACGCCCCCGCACCCATTTGACAGGCCATAAGACTAATTAATAAATTGATAACAAAATTTATGGCAGTATAATGAGAAGCGTACATACATACATAGTACATAAACGGGTATGTCAGTGTGCCGGTGGATGTTAAAAAACCACACACACACACATTTAAAATAATGCTGAAACGAGTTTTGCATTTTGAAGAACTGTACTGATGTTATTAATAAAATCATCGCCTTTTAAGACAAACGCTCATGATTTCGTTGGTGGTGGAGTTGTTGTATAAGGTGTGCAAACAATCTTAATAATCCGATTAAATTGATTAATTGTTGTAGACGAACACGCGCCTTTTGTTTGCAATTACAATTGGTACGAGTAGCAGAACAATGAGCCGCAAGAGCAAAAAATACGAGTAAGGCAGAGGAACTGAACCCAGCCGGGCTGGCAAATTTAATATGTGCGTGCAAACAGTTTTTCATTTGCCCGACTATAACTTTTATTAAAATATACATATAGTAGATGTAGAAATTTATGCACACACATGTGCGTAAATCAAAA